CTTTCCTGGTGGTTTTGCCCCTACCTTGCCATGCCTGAGTTCACTCTGCATCGTGGATGTCAGTAGGAGAAGTAAGATTTGAAAAACATTTAGCTCATGAGGAATCTTGCACATGTTTTCTGTTCCTTTTGTTCCTTCTTAATTTCTCTGAAGAGAGCAAAAGCTTTCAAGTCTGTCCTCTTTATTTTAATATTGATTGTTTTCATTTAAATAATGATGATCAATTTTTCATGCAGGGTTTTCATCTCAGCAGACGAATGCACTCAGATGGGCACACACACTGAAAAGCTTGCCTTCTGTTTCTGTGATTAATTGAGATGTAGAGAGTGATGGGTGTGGGGTAAAAATAGAAAGGCAATTAGTGCAACTAGGCATGAAATAACATTGAGATACAAGCAGAATGTCTCCCCAGTTAGTGATCTCTTTCTGGCTCTTGTGGATTAGCATCCCATTAGTAAGTCACTGGAATGGAAATCTTCAGCCTTTGGGGAGACCAGAGCATTAAAAACGGAATTAACTCTAACTGCAAACTGAGTCAGCACAATAGGTCATTAATTCGACTCCTCGGGTATATATATCATGCTGAGCTTCGGTGTGTGGGCTTCTGAAATATTAGGAGTGAGTTTATAAAGCATTGCAAGGACTAAATGATGGTTATCTATCATTCCATCCTTCACTCTCACCATTGAGATACTAATGTCTCTGGTGGTTCAAAACCAGTATTGAAATACAGACAAAACTTTTTACTAGAACTAGTGGATATGGACCTTTACTTAGAAAAGCTGTGTATTATGTATTTTGAAAAAATAAATTCCTCTTACACTTACAGAATATTAATGATTCCTAGTTTTTAAAAAGCTTCGTCCTCAACTGATAAAGACAAAAATATCACAATGCCTCAGATAGTATCATTCCGAAGATTGAGAATTAAATCTTTCTGCATGAAGTTGACTTGTTTTGCTTTCTTTAGAAATAACCAGTGGCATTAAAAATATTTTCATGGGGCACCTGGGTCTCAGTCCATTAAGTGTCTGACTCTTGATTTTGGCTCAGGTCATGGGATTGAGTCCCGTGTTCGGGTTCTGAACTTAGCAGGGGGTCTACTTGAGGATTCTGTCTCCCTTTCCTTCTATCTGCCTCTCCTTCCCCACTCCCCCACCCCCCATGCCATGCTCTCACTCTCTCTCTTTCTCAAATAAATAAATCTTTAAAAATTTTTTACAAATAAATTTCTAAGTATAAAATATATGGAAATATTGAATATTTTCAAGGAACCTGTAGTACTCCCTGGTTTCTGATACTCTTTTCTTTCTTACTCCTCTACATCCTCTTTGCAAATTGCTAACAGATAGTATTATTTCCTTTGATCATCCCTGTATAGCACAGTCATTAACAACTGCCATTTACTGATTGCTTCCCCAGGGTTTCTCACACTTGGCAATACTGACATTTGAGTCCAGATAATTCTTTGTTGTAGGGCTGTCCTGGGCATTGTAGGATGTTTAGCAACATCCCGGGCTTCTACCCACTAGATTCCAATAGCTGTACCCCACATGGCCCATCAGAAATCTCTGCAGACATTGCCAGTCATACCATGGTGTCAACATCTCCTCTGACTGAGAACCACTGGTTTATGCTCTATTAGACATTATCTCATGTGATTCTACAATAACTTTGCAAAAATGTGGGACTTTGTGAATGGGAGCCTTGGTAGGAAATAGAACCTACACAGTGTTTACTTACAACTTACAACCGCTTAGGGATGTTACGGCACCCAGATAATATCAGTAGTGAGAAGTCATTCCCACCCCAAGGGTTGAAAAAGCAAGGAGAGGAGATAATGTTCCTGGGGTGTTGAGAAAGCTGGAAGCATGGAGAGGCCTCTAGACGGAGATGAAATCAGGAAGAGACAGAACAACACCGTAACACAAAGAGCAAAGGATACCCTGGCTCCTCCTTCCTCCTTAATCCTTTGTCACTAAAAAGTCCTACAGTAGGTGAGCCCAAATGAAATCCAACCAGCAAAGGATTGGAGTGATGCAACCCCAGGGTTTAGTCCTGTGGGCTCAGACACAGAAGGAAAATGGAATCCATGGAGGAAAAGAAAAGAAAAGAAAAAACTGTCCCCAATTTAACATGAAAAACTGAGGTTTAAAAAAACAAAGTAATTCACCCAAAGCCAGTGTCCTCTGTACATTACTAGTAACCTGTAGCTGATTTGCATCAATGAATGGACATTCAGTGAGTCTATGAATTTTTCAAGGTTATTGATTTCAGTAGCTGATAGAAACAAGAGCAGACCCAATTCTCATTCCCAGTCTGGTGTTCACTTTTTTTGTGTTGACCTCTGAAAGAAATTTAAGAACTGTATATCCAGCCCATTCTCCAGCAGACAAACATGAGATTGAAAGCTATGTGCTGACCTGGAAAGTCATTTTTTCCTAAAAAGCTTATGGAATTCTAGGTTTCATATAGAATGTCTAAATGGCATATGCTGTTTTTCCAGGCTTTTGGCACATTTTGTCTTGATTGCAGAAACTCGGCCCCAGCTGGTGCAGTGTGTGAGGAGAGGGAGGAAGACTGGACTGAGAACCAGGGGATCTGGGGCCCAGTCCTGGCTCTCTCAATCCTAGCCCTGCAACCCTTAGCAGGAATAGCAATAATTAAAATCCCAGAAATCGTTTCTTCCCTTTTGAATTCAGCCAGATCTTCACAGTTATTTTCAGGTCTCTAATCAGATGGCCATAATTCTAGAACAAAGAAGGTGTTAGATTTTCAGGTTTCATAAGTGAAGAGTCAGGATCAGAAAACACTAGAGTCTCACTGAGTATCCCATAGCTGGGAAGTAGACTCAACGTCACCTCTTCCCACAGAAAACATAGTGTACTTTCTACCCCATTTGCAGTGATAAATCAGTTGATTTACTTCCTCTGGACAGCCAGTCGGTAGCATTTAATACTTCAAGCTTCATCATAAAGGCATATCTACGTTAAAGTCTAAGAATCTTTATTTTTGTCTTCACGTTATAGCAAGGCTACAGTGGAAACCAATATAGTTAGCACATAGGGATTCCTCATGTCTTCCTTCCTTGGTTTCAGATGAGTATATTTACTGACTGACAGCTTTTTAGAGACAAAAACTAGAGTGTTTCAAGGAATTTTAAAATAAATATATACAGGTAAATCTAAGTGAATTAATACAGTTCCATTTTTCTCTCTTTAATCCTGGGAGAATTGATGCTAGTATTTCAGATTCAGAAATCTCCACTAAGATAAAGTGGGTGGACACTCCCAGAAAGTCTGGAAGGTCCTTGGTCCTTTGCCCAAAGGATTTACCTTCTTTGCCTCAAGGGGGGGCGGGGGGGCGGCAGGAAATGATACCTTTCAGGGGTTCAGACACTGAGCTTCTTGTTCTCCGTTTTGCTGTCTGCCCACTCCCTCTTCCACTCTGCAGTATTTTCAAGCTGCCCTATTTCACTGTTTTCAGCCATAAAATCAGGTGTATAACACCCACAAATTAACTTGTTTTATTTTTCATAATTGAATATTTCTTTCAAGCTCCTATTTCACCTGCCTTATTCCAAGTAAGCCTAGAATGCAGGGGTTCTCAATCCAAGGTAGAGCTGGAGAGAAGGGAAACAGAAAAGAAAAAGACAAAACTAAAGTATAGATGTTTGAAGTCTAAACATAAAAACAAGCAAGAAAGAGAGAAAGAAGGAAAATATTGTAAGTTCTATTTGATAGCCTTTGTAGTCAGGCAAAAATACAAAATTCCTTCGAAGAAAACATTTTCACTGATCAAAAACTCTGGCTGCATGATAACATTGTCGTATGAGATGATTAGGAATTCTTTGGAAATTGGTTTATAATTGTTAGGGTGTTCATACATGAGGAAAGGTGGAGTAGCAGTATTTTCAGTATTTAGAAGAGTAGATTTGAGCTAGATTATCTAGATACAGATCATAGTGTCCTCCCTTTTCACCTATGAGACCTTGGGCAAGTTACTTACCCTCTCTGTGTGTTGGTTTCCTCATTAATATAATCAAATATAAAGAGATTATGGTTAAACAAGTTAATAATGACAAAGCATTTAGAACAGTAGTGGACATAGAAATCATTCTTTGGATGCTAGTTGTCATTGGATACCCTCTTTCCATCACACCCCCCAGCACCGTTATCATGATCAACACTAATTTGTACTACATAGGGACTCAATCTAATGTTTCCATTCTTTTAGAGTATAATTACGTAGAAACCTAATCCATAATAACTAAATTATAGAGCATCACTGTTTAGAATAGTTTAACCAAAAAATAATAATAACTTATGTAGGAATAATGTGCATTTGTACTTTGGAGTATATAACCTTACTCAGAACTTTCTATTCTAAGAGTTGGCCACCCTTTCTCTCTTCTTGATTGTGTACTAAATCTGTAGAAAGGCTTATTCATAGCGACTCTATTTGGTTTGGTGTTATGATACCAAGTATATATTTCCCAGGATTTCAGGCTAGAGACTACCAACAAAGAAATATTCCAGAAGTCAGAATTAGACATAAATTGTATGCTACAGAGGTGTCTTCTTATTACCAGAAGTCAGGCCAGAGTCTCTAAAATCACATTAGGGTACTGTTTTTGTGGGTATTGAGTTTCACCCTTGAGAGAATTAAAAGAGCTGACAATGACGTATAATAAATCTTACACTGACCCAAACATATTTAGTGATTAAACTTCCCAGCAATCCCAGTTCTGTCAGCTTAAATAAGTAGAAAACTTATATTTTTACTCTTTTTTCACTTTCCATTTAGAGAAGTAGATTTCATAGAAATAATTACTATATTTGTCTGTTTAATTCATTTAGAGTTAATGCCTTATTTACATGCTTGGGATTTTAATTTGAGATGAGAAGGAACCAAGAAAAGTATGAGCCGTTTTTTATACACAGGAACAACTGGCTCTCTATTTTTTAATTTTTATCTATTTTCTTTGTCTCAATCCCCAGCCTCTGAGCCCAACTTGAAGGTGCGGTCCAGGTTAAAACAGAAAGTGGCAGAGAGGAGAAGCAGCCCCTTACTCAGGCGGAAGGATGGAAATGTTGTCACTTCATTCAAGAAGCGAATGTTTGAGGTGACAGGTAATTGAGGACTGTGCAGACATACACTAAAAAATGCCGGTAGGAGGAATGAAAATAAATAGCGTAGAATAAATATGGCTGTTGCGTATTAAAAGTTATTTTGAGGAGAAACATGTCTTAAAAGGAAATTATATTGAACATGCACAAGTAGCTCAGTAAACCTTGCCATGCATTCACCAACTGTGTTAAACAGGAAATGAATGAAAAACAGAACTGTGTGTCAATATAGGCATAACTAGGGAACGCCAAAGTTCACCTTCATCTTTTCAGAAACAGGCAGTCCGTTTTAGGAATGCCAACCAGAAGAATATAACTTTTAATGAAATTTGATCAGAAATGAGCAGAGGGAGGTCCAAGAGGAACACTTCCCCCATACTCAGACACGAATGTACAAAATACATCTGGGAAAATTAAACTATGTGGAACAGCAAAACCTTGACTTTTCAACAAATTTACAGAACTCATAAATGACTTTATGTGTTTACTAGTGAACTGGGACTTATGGCAGGAGGGGGATATATTGCCTTTTAGGAAGGGAAAGAAACTGTCATTTTCACTAGTCTCCAATGGAAGCATTCTTATTTTCTTAGCTGCCTGGTTAGTGGTGGGGTGAACAGGTTAGGAAATTCAACCTGATGTCTTACAAAGCTTTCTGGTCCCAGCTGTACCTGGTCAGAAATTAGAGAAGACCTAGAGATACAAGAACCAAAAAGGCTAGCCAAAATAATAATACCGGCTACTGTTTATCGAGTACCTCCTTGGACCTATATGCGTTGTATTTGGTCATTTCCTTCGGTTGCATCCATAGGGAAGTGGTAATCGGCAACCGTTTTTTTTCCCATTCTCACGGAAGATTGTGCTTATACCAGTGTAGTCAGTTGCTATCATTTCTCCAAGATCAGATCTTATCCTTAGCAGGAAAGGGTAATAATTTTCCAAAATTATTTGTTTTCTCTATCTCCTGTGGCCATAAGAACACCTACTTTGGGGAGACAATAGGGTAAAGATTGTGGAAGTGGGAGTAGAAAAGTACAGAACACTAATGCAACGTGGTAGTTTTACAAGTTATTTAGGAAAAGCAAAATGTGCAGTCTCCTACTCATTTCTGATAGATTAATAAATTTAATACAGATTTAATAAAAAATCTTTATCTGAAGAAAAGTATTAGTTGGAAAATTTTTCCTTGACAGATAAGAAATGTTTAATAAATGCATATATAAATTAATAAATATTATTCTACCAAAATATATTTTTTTCAGTATCAAATATAATCACTAATTTGGACCAATTTAAATTCAGAGCTGCAGACTTTTTTTTTTTTTTTTTTTCAGAACACAGATTTGTACCTAAGTAAATAAAAATCTTAATTAAGCTTTCATAACAGAGGTACTTGGTGGGGTTGGGGAGTTGGGGAAATTAATCTATTTTAATGTAAAGAAGATGAACATATCAACTGCCTAATGTGAATAGATAGAAGTGATTTTTCTAATTGGAGAGAGTACGCTCCCTCGTAACAGGAAAACTTGACGAAAATAGAAAGCCATATACATTGCTTTGCTTTTTTTTGTTTGTTTTTGCTTTAGAATCTGATCAATCCAAGGGCATGTTTATTTATCCCAACGTTCTCTTCTTTTCCTATCAATCTCTTCTTGATGGTAACTTTTTCCCCACTGTCACATGCCACTTTGCAGTGGAATTTTGCTCAGTACATATCTGGGTAATAATTAATTCTAACTTAAAGAGATGATAATTTGCTGGAGTTTCCCTCACGTTTCTTTATTTTTGAAATACCATATTTTTCAGAAAGGGACTTGTATGTTTATTTGATGAACATTTCTGGTCATTGAGCTAGGACTTGTGAACGCTTTGGTAGATATTTTTAAACTAGTATGTTGTACTTATTCTCAATGTCTTTGGAGGATCTGAACTACCAGAGACAGATTTATTCACCTGTCCTCCCCCCCCTTTCTCTGCCAGCTTTCACATAAAGTGGATGAGCTTTGTTTGGATCTTCATGCTAATTATTTTCCTGTAGTTGGAGACCATCGTGGCATCATAGAGCAGATAACTGCTATTATGGGTCTTCTCCCACCTTTGCATCTCCCTTCCCCATTTCCTAGGCTTAAATACCTGCTTTTTCCAAATCCTGTGCCCCCTCTCCTCCCAATAGTTGACATGGGAACCACTTGCTATCTCCCTGTTTTTTAAGTTCTACAGTTTTCTGTCCCTTTTCCCACCAAAGCCATGTTATTTAACAATTCTCAGCCCTGGCCCCTCCCAGTGCCTTCTCCTGCACTCCCTTCTTCTCTGCTGTCCCCATTTCATGAACGACTTCTACTTCTCTTCAAGCCCCAGTTGCCATCTGATTTCTTCTCTGAGATTTTCTCAGTGTTCCCAGAAAATCAGTTGCTACCTCCCCTGCCTCCCCAGGTCCAGTGCCGTGTTGTAGAGTCCCGTTGCAGCATGTATTTGTGGCCTAGAATTCTCGTGCTCACAGCAGCGATTTCTACATAAAGAAATATTTCTGTCTGAATATTGCACCAAAAGACAGAAATAATATGACTTTAAATTGACAAGGCAGACGTAAGAAAAGTACTTTTTTGTTTTTGTTTTTTAAAGACAGGATACGAAAATGAGACATTAATGAGAAATCGGTATTGAGTCACACAGGAAAGGCCAGAGTTAAGAGTCTGGGAGAAAATAAGCTCCTTGAAGTATTTTTTTTTAATGTGTATTTTTCTCATTAAAAGAAAAGCAAATAAGAAAGAATCAAAGATAAAAATCGGATTGATCAAAATGCAAGCAAAATATATAGACAGAAAGGCAAGGAGAAGATGTGTTTTAGAATTTTACACCCGTGTCCTTTTTTTTTTTTTTAAACTCATCAAAATCTTCTATAATGTTGTCTAGCTCTTATTCTTACTTATCTAGAAATGGGAGTACTGCATTGTATCCTAACAGTGAAAACACAGGGAGAAAAGTGGTAGCAGAATTCAGAAATGTTTCAAAATTTTTCACAGTCCTTTTTGTGGACTGACATGGGGCTTGTTGTTCCCATGGTGGGGAAAAGAGTGTTTGGTGCTATATGTCACTTACAGTATCACCGAAACTCATCCTTGTATGGTTTTCATGAATCGGCTTGTGCTTCCCAATGTCTTCCAGAATCTTCTGTCAGTAGCAGCTCTCCAGGGTCTGGTCCCAGCTCACCAAACAATGGGCCAGCTGGAAACGTTCCTGAAAACGACACCTCGGTTTTGCCACCTACTCCTCATGCTGAGGTAAGGCTCTTACTATTTTGGTTCTTTTAAAAATTAGATCCTTGAATAGCCCTATAAAACAAAGTGATACTTCTGAAGTATAGAGCCACCTGTTCTTAGTTATTTTTCTTATAGGCTTATCGTGTATGGAATTGAATTAGGCTTGATCTTATTTACCGAGTTTGGATGACAATTACGGTTTGGAAATAATGAAATGTAACCCTCAGTAAAAAACACTCAGGGATGCTGAAGTTACGCTGCCCAGCAGTTGTGCAACTCGGTAGTGTTGGGTTTGGTTCTTGGTTGTTCTGGTGGGGGTAGACCCAAAAGCAAGTAAAAAAAGACTTCGTGTAAACCTCTCAGAAGAACAGCCTAGCAAAGTAGGTTTTATCCATTTGCCCTGGAGAGTAATGAAAAAATAATTTAAGTATTACATAGGATTCCACTGAGCAAACATTAGCAGAGGACCTACTAAGTGCCATTCATTTTGCCTAGCAATGGAATATAAAAATGAATAAGATATGAACTCTGTTCCTGAAGAATGAAATGTTAAAGGAAATGGATCTGATTGTATGCAGTCAGCCGTTATAACATTTGTTTTTCAACACCTAATTCATGGAAACCAGTGATATAAGAATAGAGAAAGATAAATTTGTGAGTCAACAAGAATTCTTCTGTATAGTTTTGTTATTAAGCTAAGCCGTGGCAGCAGTCTGGAAATAGCCATTCTTAGGGAATCAACTGTTTTGAAGACACCATCAATTGACTGAAACTCTTGTTTTTTTCTTTTCTGTCATTGTAATTCCTCCTTACCATGATTTGCTCTATGCAGGGAAAGCTGGTACAATAACTTCTCATATGTAACTGTAACATGTTTCTTTCCTTATATTTGATACAGTCGTGGTAACTTAGGGTTGAAAGAGACTGATGAAATCTATGATTCTTGCATCACCTATATAGCTTTCCTGATGTGTAATTATCAAACTTTTGTTAGCATACTTCTACTTACAGGGAGCTCCCTTTGCTCTTTCCTGAAACAACTCAGTTGATTTGAGAGAGTTCGCTTGACAGAAATGTCTTCTGTACATTATGCCAATATCTGTGTCTCTACAATTTCATATACATACACACTTATAACAAATTATTTCTAAATTGTAAAATTACCAGGCCAAAATATAATTGAAGGCAGAAAACCAGAGGTTATTTCTGATAAGTTAAAGGCTGAAACCAATGAAGTCACTTACTCTGAGAACATTTGCGTAGTTCAGTTTTTTGGGTGTTTTTTTTTTATTTTTTAAGATTTTATTTATTTATTTGACAGAGAGATCACAAGTAGACAGAGAGGCAGGCAGAGGAAGAGGGAGAAGCAGTCTCCCCACGGAGCAGAGAGCCCAATGTGGGGCTCCATCCCAGGACTCTGGGATCATGACCTGAGCCCAAGGCAGATGCTTAACTGACCAAACCACCCAGGGGCCCCTGTATAACTTCAGTTTTGAGTTTTGGTTTTCAGGGCTTCACAATACTTGAGAGAGAAGGCAGGCTCAGTACTGACCAAGGAGGCTAATCTAACATGAAATTAAGCTGGAATTTCAAAAGCTCGTGTCTACACTATGTTGGTGAGTCCCTCACCCCACCCCCAGAAGTGTCTGGATGCAGACCAGAGCAGGCACAGGATTTCTCCCTGAGAAGTTTTAACCAGAAGCTTGTCCTTGCATGGAGTGATAGCCCAAATTTCTGTAATTTCAAACTGTTATTTTGGTTTAAAGTGCCCCAGATTTGTTAGGGCTTGTAGGTGTCTGGAAAAGCAAATATATATCCTCTCTAGAGGAACATACTTGCATTCTAGATTTCAAAAATTTCCTTCAATTTTCCGAGGAAAATGGGGAGAAGAGATAGACATTCTCTTGCTTATGATCAGCTTTCAGCTACTTAAAGAATAACAATTCAGGCCTCAACATTATCTCCAGATCCTTCATCTATTTCTTGTTTTTCATGGTTTTCTTTCTCTTTTTCATTATCCATTCTAAAACATGATACGAGATAGCATAAGTACTTCACATATATTTGTGATCAGAGATGTAAATGGGATTCTTGGACTATTGGATATAGGTATTGTATTTCTGTTAGTGCAATTATTTGTCAATACTGGTCAGTTTTCTGTGACCCTTTAGTCAGTTTCCAGGAAAAGAACAACTTCATCATAGGCAGTTCTAAAAACTTTGGGTTTCCATTGCCTCTCAGTTTGAAGAATGTGATTCTCAGTAATAGCGGAAACACTAAAGGGTCTGGATTCTAAATCAGCTCTGGATGAATTCTGTGGCCCTGGAAAAAGAAATGTCACATTAAACTACATTCAACAGCGTGTATGATTCTTAGAAATGCATTGTTAGGGCTACAAGGTACAGAAGACCTCTTAGAGTATCTGATAATATTTTATTAGGTTCAGAAACAACAGTGCGGGTTCTTGATCATGAAAGCATAGGTAGTAAAAGTATATTTTACAAAGGTTAAGGGTGTAATGACCACAAAATTTAGCATGATGATTACCTCTCTGGAGGGACCAAGGTGGGGAGGGAGGGGAGAGACATGGTTTGTTACTAAAGAGGAAGATATATGTATTCTTTCATTATAAATACACATCTATGTATATAGTACTTAGTATAACACAGAACAACCACCAAGAAATATATATTTCTGAGATTAGAAATAAATGGAAAAGGGGAGATTTTTCTCTTTCTTCAAACTTTTTATGACCTGTTGTATTGAATATCCCAGATCATGAGATCCTATCTTTAAATTTCAAAATACATTGGAGAATGAAAGTTAAAGGAATTTTTTTATGTTGTTTTAATCTATTTTTTATTCCTAAAACCTTCACTGTCACAAATAATCTGTTTAGAATGCCTTACATTTTCATCTACTTACTGAACATTCTGTTACTACAGACCTTTCCTTCCACCCCACCAGTAAGGGTGGGGGGAAAAAACAACACACACACACAGAAGGAAATGTGATTTAATGGAGTTTGAAAGAGTAGAGGTATTTCTTCAGGTCAGTGACAGGACACTCACCTCCAAAGCTGGAAAGACTAGTTCAAAAGCAAGCAGTGACTTACTTCATAATGAATTAATTGTGTGCCTGAACTATGATCCAAAAGGCCAGGTGAGCAGACCTTTATGCACTGATGGGTAGCCTCTCTGTGGCCCAAAACAAAAAATTCAGCCCTGATGGCTAACATGTGGTTTTCTGCTGCATTGCCATTTACAGAGGTCTGTAACGTAATTCATAGTGGAGAGCTAAAGAGACAGCAGAATTCAGATGGAAACTCTCAACAAATTAATATGCTAGCTCTGTAACACAAAATGCTTGTACCTAAACTAGAAAAAGGGGAAAACAAATATTTTCTGCCAATTCTTGATTAACAATCATTTCAGATTTAGTAAGAGTTTTACAGACATCTTCCAAGATTCACAATAGTGTGTAATTTCATATCAACAGAAATAGTTTTAAGGCGTGAAAAAATATACATCATCAACTATACTTTCAAAAGCCAAGCTAGTTTCACACTTCACCATTTACAAAATAGGCGTATTCTACCATCTTCGGTTAAATAGCACCAGTGAATTTTCATTTTTAAATAGTTCAACAGTGTACATTTGTATGAGCTCTTTATTCTGTGACCTGTAAGTAGAAAAGCACATCGCCGAATTCTTCCAGAGCCCATGAATGGGATTCTACTCCCTTTTACTGCTTAGGAAAGAGGAAAGTAAGGCTGTGTCTCAGGCTGATGTTGAGGCTTCGGCAAAAAGAAAATTTTTAGCTTATAATTCACATGTCCTGCATAACATAGCTGAGGGTGAAGACAGAAATAGGAGGAGAATTTACTCCTAAGTGCCCGCTGAGGAAATGGCACAGTGCATTCAAAGGTATGGGTCTTCCATTCGGAAGGCTCCCCAGGAACCTGGCTCCGAAACCAGCTACTTTGTCATCATCAGTTAAGTCGCTAAACTTGTCCCTGACCTTAGATTCCTTATCTAGTGAACGGCAGCCATGCCTCCTCCAACAGCGTGATTGTAAGGAATCAGTGTTGGGAAGGCGGGTGGTGAATTGTGAAGTGTGAAAGGAGTTCATTTTCTGTTGTTGTTATCAATACTGACTCTTAGGAGGGAAAACTCATTAGCATGTTTGTCTCCAAGCCAGCGAATCACATGTGAGAGAAAGTCTCCATCTGCTCGGACCACTTCTGTTCCATCTCTTCTATTTCTTGCATATGCTCAGTCCTGAACTCGGATTGTTGGAGCTCCTTGTTTTACTCATTTGTAAACTTGGTTGGGGAGCTGAAACCTCAGGAGTTTCTATTTCCAGCTCTAGTCAGAAACGTCTTTACCTATCTAGTTACTTTATTGTTAATACTGCGGGCCTGTGGCTTAAGATGTTTCCATGAATATCAACACCATTATTTTAGATTCCGTAGATTTATTTGATAGCTATGTTAACAGTAGCCAAGCAGCTGGTTTATTTTTATTTGAACATTAGTGGCTGGCTCTGCTATGCTATTTCTTTTAAATCATATTTTTTTTTCCCAGCAGATACAAATGATTTTTTAAAAAGGATTCTAATAATAAGGTTAAGTACTCTGAAATCATCTGAAATGTCACTTGTTTTGCCCCCAGCTCACATGACTCATCTGCCTATTTTTTTGTAATGGCTGTTGTGACATTTGCTGTAAATGTTATGCTCCATTCTGCGTGGGTGTGGTGCTAGGGTTTTAGATGGCAGAAAATAAAATGCTTTCCCCCCATCTTTGGGGAGAAGAGGTTGCTATGACAGAAGAATCATTTAGGAGGAATAACATGAGTCAATATTGTAAAGCAAGACCTTTAATGAGACCTTCAGCAGTGCTTTTTAAATGGAGAAGGAGTGGGGTGCCTGGGTGGCTCAGTGGGTTAAAGCCTCTGTCTTCGGCTCAGGTCATGATCCCAGGGTCCTGGGATCAAGCCCCACATTGGGCTCTTTGCTCT